TTCTGGGATTGAGCCCGGGCTGCTTACTGCCAGGCCACGTGTCCAGCCATTACTTCTTTCAGCACTGCTTCTGACTGTGTCACATCTCCGGCGGTTTCCACGTGACTTCATGACGTGCCTTGGATTCTCAACTCTCTTCTCACCATGCTTCTGTTTGGGCGGTTTTTACTGATACTTTCTCCTGTGACATGCCATCCATTGTTGACCCTGAGGGGTTTGTCCCTCACGTCACAGACTGCCATTTCCATGTCTACGAGTGAGCTGGGTGCTTTCTATAGCTCTGTCACAAGCCTTTTGAATATGCACAGCAGACATCCAACGACATCTGGAAGTTCTTGCCTGCCAAGCCCAACACTGACAGCTGGGGACATGGTGGCACACTAACTTCCTGCTCCTCATTATGGAACTGCTTCTTGACTCCCCGACTGGTGGTGAGACATGAAGCAGGGAGTGACTTTGGAAGACCTTCTGGGATAGGATTCCTTGGAGAATTCAGAGCTTGGAAGAGGCTCTCCTTGCCCCGGGCCTCACTGTGTCAGATCAGTGTCTACCAATACACGCTGCCCCATTGACCAAAGAGTGTGTGGTTCTGTCCAGCCTGTTCCTCTTCCTCAGGGCCTCTTTGCTTCTTCCCACAGCCACTTCTGGAGGACCTAGATACTCGCCACCCAGAGCATGAGTTCTCTAAGAGCCTTGAGCAAGATGGTGGACAGCAGCCCTCAGACACCAGTCGGCCCAGCCTGCAGGGGCCTGAGCTTCTCAGACTCCCAGAGAATGCCAGGGGGACTGGCTGGCTCCAGCACAGGGCTTGCTCAGAACACTGGGGTCTGACAGCCTCCTTGACCTCACATGCCTCCAATTCACATGAGAGCAAACTCAAGTCACTCGGGGGCCACTGAACTTGGCAGGGAAAACTGAGCAGGCCAGCGACACAGCCCTGACAGAGGTGAGAAGAGGAGAAGCAACTGCTGAAACCCACACTGAACTTTAATCTCTGGGGACTATGACCAGGGCAATTACCAAGAAGAAGGACGAGAGTCAGTTTCAAACAGAAACGTTTCAAAAGGCCCCTCAGTGGGAAATCACTATTACATGAGCAGGTGCAACAGCTGGGGAACACATCAGTTTGCACGCTGGGCTTGGCGCCTACAGGCACTGCAAAACATAGCAGGGAGGGTGTTTCTCGCTGGGCCACAGGCAGTATGGTGCACAGGATAATTCCTTCAGCAGCTGTAGACAAGAACCACCAGCCCTGCTCCTTCAGAGAAGCACTGTGGCCTGAGCCGATGGCCAGCTCTGTCCGTGGGCCCATGCAAGCCACATGGGAATGAGAGGCAATTTCAGACTCCATTCCCTGCACACTGTGACAGGACAGTCAGTTGCAAACTCGGGGACAACACAACTGTGAAGCGCAGTTATGACAGGCCACCTGTCTTCAGACACAGACACTCCCAAAATGACAAAGATGTAGCCTCCTTCTAGGCACTAACAGGTACTAGAGACTGGTAATCATGGGAATCAAAGCTGGCTTAAATGTTTAATGCAGCACTGGCAGGCCTGGAGGTGGGCCAAGCTCAGTGTCCTCAGCCACACATCCGCTATCACAGTGGGGGCCTTTTCTGCCCTCCTCTCTCCCTGGGCTTTGTTCCACGTACCCAGCAGCCTTCCCATGTGGTATCAGGGCCAGGTAACAAGTAATGGTGCCAATAAATTTCTAAAAGTGCCAACACAGAAGACAAAGATAAGGGGGTAGGAAAGAAACAGCTCCAACACAACGTCCCAAGGAAAGCCCTCTGTTTGCGTGACTGGGCTCTTCTGTGAATGTGAAAGGGAGGGTCGGGGGAATGATCAGAAAGGACAGCTCCATAACAGAGTTGGGCTGGGCAGACATAGGATCTGTATGCTGTCCCCTGAAGGTCCCTATTGGCCGTCACTCAAGAACAGCTTCCCATGGTGGCTGCAGGAGGAGGGCGGTGTGAGTATCACGGCCAGGACCCAGGTGGAGGGCGGCTCAGTGGGAGAGAAAGGCCTGCTGGAGCAAATGGGGCGATGGGCTCAAGTTCAGTGCTCAACTCCTAAGCCCAGTGTTGTCACCAATCTCCTAAAGCATTGAAGTTAGTTTAATGAACATGAAGGTAAATATTTTGTTGAAACACAAGATTCTATTTATTATGTAAATATTCACTATTCTGGTTATTATCGAACCAACAGAAGCATTCATTGGTCAGAGCCAGGCAAAGAGCATGGGGCCCAGCAACAGTCAGGGTGGAACCAAGTTCAAGTTGGCCCAGATGGGCAGCTCTAGCATCAGGGGGTCAGAAGACCAGGGCCTTGCAGGACGCAGTGCCACAGCTCCAATACAGCAGGGCCAGAGTCCTGGGGTGTGGGGTGGCACACTTAGCCCAGAAAATAAGAGACCCTACAGCTGGAGGAGAGGCACAGGCTGTGTGTTTCAGGCAGCATGATGGCCTACATAGAAGTCCAAGAGACCCTACAGGTAAATAATTAGAGCTATCAAGAGTCCAACAGAGTTTCTGTGTAAGATCAATAAAGAAACACTAGTAAAGGTCCTGCCCCAGCCCCAAGCAGATATGCAGTGAAGGCAGCACTTGCAGCAGAAGCAGGGGTTCCTGACTGTCCACCCGTCAAGCCCCTCAGCACAGCCTCAGCAGTGGTCAGCCCAGCTCTGGGTCTCCAGGCACACCTGTATGAGAGGAGGGTCTGAGCAGGTGCCAAGGGGCCCCCCAGGGCCAGGCTGGACTCCAGTCCAGAGGCTTGTTGGTGGGGCTCAAGGAGTGGGGCATGCTAGTGGCTCTGCTGGTGCCACTGCACAGGATCCTCAAGAAGAAAGCACAGGTGGAGAGACTGGGCTTGGAGTGGTTGCTGATCTATTCTGCTGCCTCTAGTGCTTGGAGAACAGGGTGCAGCAGGCACAGCTGAGCCCAGTCCAAGGCCACAGGTGGCCTGAGGGTGCTTCCAGTGGAGCACAGGCAGGTCCTAGCCACCAAGAGGGAGGGGACCAAGAGGGACGCTGGGTCTTGGCTTTGGTGACTAGAGGGCAAATGGAATGAGGCAGACGGGCAGATGGGCAGGTCAGATCCAGGTACACACCTGCCTGAGAAGAGGGGCTGAGCAGGTGCCAAGAGACACACGGTGTTGCAGGATCCTCTACTCCCTTCTGCTCTGCCTCCCAGGAAAGGCAAGGTCCTTCTGGGCTACAAGACCACGACCTCTCCACCCATCTGAGCTGGTGCTTCTGCGTTCTCCCCTTCCCACCTCCACACGAAGCCTCAGGGCCAAGCTCAGCCACTGATCACGTGCAGCCCTGGGCCTCGGGGCCTCTCTTGTGAGTGCCTGCTTATCCATGACTATGCCATAAGTGCCCACTTGCTCCACAGGGCTGAGGCAGGAACGCTTTCAGCTGGAAGTCCTACTGCAGGTGTCACCCACACACAGCCACACGCAGAGGCCACTGAGGTCCAGCTGGGAATGTGGACCCGGTTCCTCAACTGGACTCTGTTTGGACTACTGCTTCGAACACATGCTAAAGAGCAAAGCCAGCCGCCTGGTCCGCCCCCATAGCCCCTCGGGCCACCAACCTCATCCCCGATTCCACTCTCCCGCAGGCTCTGTGCCACGGCAGCTCCAGCCCGACTCAGAACCCCATGCTGCCTGGAAGGCAGATGGCCAGCACGGAGGCTGCTTCCTGGATGTCTCTGTCCCTCACACCCTGCAGAGGGTAACATCCCTCCCGTGCCCTGCACACCTGTCACTCTGGAACCTCCTGGATGCCAAGGCCCTCTCACCTTTCTACTCTCCATGCCTGTGCTTCTTTCTTGGCTCCCCAGGACAGCAGCTCAGCCTCAGAACCTGCATGCACAATCCCTTCCAGGGCCTCACGGCTACCACCAATGGAATCCCAACCCTCAACAGCCTCCTTCCTAGACAGGCTTCGCCCGCAGGCTGCTACTGGGGTCTGAATGAGCTGCTGCCTCTGCCACGCTGGCTCCAGCCTCAACAGCGGCCCAGGGCCACCTGGCCACCCTCTCGCCCTTCGGGACAGAGCTGCCCTCCCCTTCCATCTCTACACAGCAATTGACTCTACACTGAGGCCAGGCAGTTTTTTTTCAACCAGGACTTGGTTTTTATGGGTTTTTTTGTTCCCAAATCATCARTCCCCACAGCCTGGTAACACAGCAGACCCGTCACTCCAGCTGCAGGCTTCCTCCTGTCTCCAGCCTGTCGCTGCCAGAGCTCCTGCCCCTCGCAGTCCCATGCCCTCTGCCTCCTCGCACCCCTCAGTCTATCCTACGTGCCCTTGAAATTGGTTGAAATTGGTACATGTGCAGCCCCACCCATAGGATCACTCAGCCCTCCTCCTTCTGAAACCTCCTGTGTGATGTGACTTGACCCACAGGACTGAGCCTATGGGACAGCAGACCTCTGTGTCACCTACAGATTGGCATGGAGTTCTGAGAAAGGGGCCCTGGCCAGGTCTCTGTGGAGAGAACAAGAGACCGCCCGGCCAGCAAGAATGAGGAGCAGGGACAATGTGAAGAGAGCAGAAGAAGGCAGCTGCAAGTGGAGAAGGACCCTCAACTGGGACCTCGGCCAGGACCACGCTGAGAGCCGTGGTAGCAGCTGGGGCCTCGGCCAGCACTTGTTTGTTGAAGTGGAAAAGAGCCCTGGTGGGAAGGCTGCTAAGGCCGGTGAGGTGCATCCAGCTTTCATCAGGGGCACAGAGAATGGCCTTGAGGACAGGTGGGGGTAGGAGGACAAAGCACAGGTGCTAAGGGAAGCAGGACAGGTAAGCTGATGGCGGGGGTGACAGAGACCAGCTGCTAGGTGCCATGTAGAGTAGGACGTGGGACAGGAAGGGCAGCAGGAGGGCCAGCCCCAGCCCAGGCTCATTGGCCACTGTCATTCAGGGTGAGTGGCCTGGGGTCCACACTCAGGGCCTTGTTTCCCTGCCCACCAAAGGACAGACAGAAGTCACTCACGCTGTCCACGGCGAGGATCTTGGCCCAGATGAAGACGAGCAGTGGCCGCAGCTCTCGGGCTGAGCTCTGGAGCAGCTTCAGCACGTATGGGAAGATGCCCACTGACAGGGCCTGGGGCGGGAAGGACAGTTGGTGAGGCCCTGCCTGACTTCATGGGCTACAGCCCTGGGATAATACCTCAGCATACGGGCCAATGAGACAGAAACAAAAGACCTCACTTAAAGCCTGCCTCACCTGTAGGTAGACCCGTCTCTGATTTTATTCCTAGAAGGTGTCAGTACTTCTAGCCTTGACCAGGACTGACCTAGAGACGGCCATCTCCAGGGAGCAACGTGCTGGAAGAGTGCACACTTAGTTATTCTTCCTACTGGTAGACTCCCTCTCTCCTCTTCCACGGCGGCTGACTAATGACACTGTGTTGGCAGTACCCAATTAGGGAAAGCCCTGAAGTGGACCTCAGCAGGCAGCCTGGTGTGCCCGCCCAGTGCCCTGGCTCCTTCTGCCCACCTACCTGCTCCCCTCTTACAGTGCTCTCAAGCAGGCTGGACACAACACGCTTGTGAGCACTCAGTATGTCACTCAAAATGGACAGCTGCTCTTTAATAATGTGCAACACCCAGTGTTTATTTATTTATTTCTTTTGCAGTGCTGGGATCGAATGCAGTGCCTTGTGCGTTCTAGGCAAGTGCTCTACCACTGAGCTACATCCCCGGGCCAGTTCAATTTCTAATTGTTCACTGAATATAAATTTTCAAACTTCAACTTTTAAAATTTTATTTGCAAACAGAACCAAATAAGATCTACGTACATATTGCAAATGTCTCCTAGGTCCCTGTTTCTGGGTACTGGGGAACCCAGGAGCACTTTAGCACTGAGCTATATCTGCAACCCTTTTTATTTTGGGATAGGCCCTAAATTTCCCAGGCTAGCCATGAACTTGCAATCCTCCTGCCTCAGCCTGAGGAATCTCTGGTATTACAAGTGTGTGCCACCGTGCCCAACTTGGGTGATAGGTCTCTTGAATCTCTCTTCATTACATATTTTTAAATTTGTTCTTTTTAGTATACATGTTGAATTTCTTTTAATGTAAAAATTTCCCCAATTTTCCTTGTGATATATTTGTTGAAAAAGAAAAACAAAACCAGATCATTTCTTGATTCTCTTCATGCCAATCTCTTCTGCTTTAAATGGCCATTTCTACTCTGCTATAGAATGAGTAACCAGAAAAGCACTTCAGAACTATGCCTAAAATAATATGAAAAGGCAGTGATGAGCATTCAGGGACTTCCTGAGAGGGATGCGTGTGACTCTGTGGCTCCCTGCCTCTTGGCAATGGCAGGCAGGTCTCCTGAGAAGTGCCCCGCCAGCAACACTTCCTCCCTCAGCACTGATTCTAACATCAGATGGGAACAAGGGCAAAGCAGAAACAAAAGACCCAACATGGTGCTGCTAACAGCTGTGCAGGAACGGGAGGTGGTCTCCAAGGCCTCGGGATTTCCTGGACATCCCGCAGAGGGCATGCACTCTAAATCATGTGGCTGGGGCACCTTCCAGAACACTGGCTAAGTTCAGACTGTCACGTGGAAGCTGATCTCCACCCACCCCCCCAGCCCTGGGCCCAAGGAAGGCAGTCAGCACGCACCAGGCTTACCGCCCAGGGACCCAAGTCCAAAAATCTTCCCAGCAAGTCCAAGGCTCTCAGCCGGTGCACTTGACTTAGCAGCACCTGGAAAGATAAGAACAGAAGGGCATCACGGCAAGACTGTTCCATTGTTTCCCCGGAAGCCTCTGCCTCTGACTGTGGCTCCGAGCAGGAGCCTGACTGTCTTTCCATCTGTCTGCTGGTTCCTTCTGTCCTCCACAATTCACACTCCTAGGTTAAGACTCCTAGATTAACACTCTTTATTTCTTCTTCATGGGTTAAATATGCTCACTGTAGAAAATAGCAGAACACTTCAACTGYACTTGAAAAGGTAACTCAGTGGTGGCACTGTGGTTTATCAACTGCTAAACATTTGTCTTGGACCCACACACATCCCTGACTGATCCCAAACTGGATAACACGTTATATATATCTATATCCATGTCTCTTCCTTAAACTGAACACACGGTGGTCATGGCTCCACAGCCCTGGACATGACTTGCCAAGTCATTCGGAACGGAAGCACAGCATTTCATTTATATGAACGAACGTGAGCTTCTAAAAATGATTTCTCACTGCTAGATATTTAAATTATCATAAAATGTTGTTATAAATGATGCTGTGATGAATCTCCTAACCAGCACGACTCTGCACACCCACAGGAGCTTCTCCCCTAGGATAAACTTAAGACGCAAAATGACACCTTCAAAGCTTCTGTACTTGTGTCACCAAACCACTTGCCAGGGGGGCTACCTGCCCTCCACACAAGCAGTACCAGCTCATGGGGCTGTGGCCCTGGGAAGGCACTTGACCTCAGAGACCAATTTGGCAATTTATGAAACAAGGACAACACAACACCCTCCCACAAGGGCCTCATGAAACTAAGTGATTAAAGCTGGGGCTAACCCAAATTATTATTATTGCTATTACTCTAAGACAATATGGTAGGTGAAACTGTCCTTTGAAGCTGAAATTTTTCACAACTAGTAAAATTACTTTCATAGGTTATTTCTCTAGTAAAGCAGTAATACATACCTTTATTTTTCTATTTATTTTTTTAAAGTTGTAGGTGGATGCAATACCTTTATTTAATTTATTTATTTTTATGTGGTGCTGGGGATTGAACCCAGTGCCTTACACATGCTATGAAAGCACTCTACCATTGAGCCATAACTGCAGTCCTAAATGTTTGACTTTTTCCTAGTGATAAACAGTTCTTAGTAAATGAAAAGAGAGTGCCCTTTGCCATCTATTTTGTATGTATTTTCTATTATATCAAAGTTTTACTTTTCTCTCTCTCTCTCTCTTTTTGCAGTACTAGGACACCCAAGGCTTTGCACATGCTAGGCAAGTGCTCTGCCACTGAACTGTATCCCAGCCATTTTTATTTTTTGAGACAGGTTAAGTTGCCCAGGCTGGCCTTGAACTTGAGATCCTCCTGCCTCAGCCTCCCAAGCTGCTGGGATTATAGGCATGTGTCACCACACCCAGGTCAAAATTCTATACATTTTTTWAAAAATAATCTTTGATTCAGGGCCTTATGCATGCCAGTCAAGAACTCTAACATGGTGCTACATTTCCAATTCTACATTTATTTTTTTAACTTGGAACATTTTACTTCACCTTCTTAAGACTCATCAGCACATACATTACTTTGACCACTTATCTTGGTGTGCCACAAAGCTGTTAGACACCTGAGGTCCTGATGCAGACTGATTCCTCACTCAGGACAAGGTATCTGAAAACCCCACATATGCACTGTCTCCCTATCACTGTTCTGGGGTTACATCTGCCTTAAGTCCACAGCTGGCCAGTTGGCAGGTGGTGGGAGCTCTGTGGCATGCACTAGCATGGGCAGAGGCTGCAGGGGACAGCTCCAAGTTGAGTCATTTATAACGATTTTTTCCTTCATGGTGTCTATGCTGGAGGACATGTGTACCAAGTCCCTCAGACCCACAGCATCTCTGTCCTCTGATGTGCTGTCATCCAGTTAGTGTTATGGGGCACTTGCTTTGTGTAGATACCATGCTGGGCAGTGGGGCGGTGAGCAGGGACAGTTAGGATCCCTGGAAGTCAGTCACTTAGCCTTGGAGACAAGCACTAACAGCCTTGCTCACTGCGCATGGGGGTGATGGGCAGTGCTGTCAACACGCGTACGTAAGCAGAGGTCTGAGCTAGTTGGGGGTTTTGGAAGGGTTTCCCTCCCAGCTAGAAGGTTGCAGCCATATCCTGGAGAGTGATGTGCAGGGATTACAGGGTTCCAGCAGGAAGCTGAGAAAGATGAAGGCATCTGGGGAAGGGCAGGTGGCTGGTCTGAGGTGGGCAGCCGGGGGAGGAGGCAGACCACTTGGCAGGTCCTTGACATTGTGCATCCTATGCTGGGAGGAGCCACCTGAGGTGCTGATGCCCATGGTAAGTTCTTGCCAGCCCACTTCTGGCCAGCTGTGGTATCTGAAGTCCTTGGGCAACACAGGAGTCTGTGCTGCATGATGTATGCTTATTTGGAAATAAACATCAATGAAAAGTATTGGGAAAAATGGTATTTTTTTTTTATTCAAACATTATATCCTTTCTTTCTTCTGTTGATTCATATATTTAAAAAAAATAAATCCAAACACAAATCAAAATTAGTTACAAAATATAGAGTGGCTCCTTTGGTCTGTATTTGTACTTTAAACAAACAAACAAACAAACAAACAAAAACCCAAGCTAGAAGCGGTGGCCACATCTGCCATCCCAGGGACTCAGGAGCCTGAGGCAGGAGGAGCCCAAATTCAAAGCCAGCCTCATCAACTTAGTGAGGCCTTGTTTCACAATAAAAAATAAAAAGGGCTGGGGATGTGGCCCAGTGGTTAAATGCCCCAGTACCTGTTTCAGGCTAGCCCAGGAAGTATGGCAATCACAGAGATAAGTGACAGTCAACAGAGGCATTGCTGGGGTTTTCTTCTCCTCCATGGCAAGCCAGACTGAGGACCAAGAGTGGCTATCTGAAGACCAGGTAAAGCAGAGCTTGCTGAGGCAGCCCAACTCCACCGGCCAGGTGTCAGAGTCAGTGCTCAGGTTCTGGCCCAGCCTGGCACTCCAGGAAGCAGGCTGCTGTGGGGCATCACATGTCAATGCACAGGTATGTGAGCACACATGTGTGCAGAGTGTGCATGATGACAGCACCCTAGGCCGCTCTCTGCTGTCACCTAATAACCCTGTTCTTTCAGACCCAATATTTATTTGAAATAAAATGGTACATTGAGAACAGAGTTCTCGTGAAATGCTCTCACTGATTTCCAAGGTCCATGTAGAAATACAAAAGTTTTACCCTATGAAATCACTCTGTCCTCCTTTTCTGCAATATTGACCTTCATTCTTTCACCTGGGCCATCTCTGCTCACCTGCCACCTGGGGAGGAGGCAGACAGGAATGGTAAGCCCCAGGCAGGTTGCAGAGCCAGAAGACCCAGTACACCATGGAGTTGCAATGTTGTGGGATTCCAGAGCTCCACACAAGATGACCGTGGTCAGCAGAAGTGGTCAGCAATGATGAGGGGAGAAAACTGCCCTCAAGAACAAGCAACACCTTTCTCCCCAACCTCAGCTGACCTGCAGTTTGAAAGGTACAGAAGGGACAGAGGCTGGCTGGAAAGGTGGTATTTCCATGTTGACCTATTATCTGTGGGCCTTTGAAATCTCTCACTGGACCCTAGATGCCCATCAGCTGATTTCTCTGAGGTGTAGGTGGAAAAAATTTGCTCTGGCTTATGGGAAAAGTAGGGGGGATCTGATAAACAAGTAGTTTCTAATACAGAAAGCTCTTCCCTGAGTTAAGAATGCCCGACTTGCCAAGGCACTAGAGGAAAATTTATAGATGACAGGGTGTGGGCTCTGGCAAATAACAAAGGGGAAGTGACCAGCTGGGTGAACGAAGCCGGCCTCGGGCGCTCCCACCTTCTTCCTCGCTTCCTCCTTAGTTAAAGTTTACCATCGATCCTGGCTGGCAGGGCCTGGGGGAGAGGCTTCCCCAGTGATGAAGAGGCTGCTGCTCTGCATGCCTAAATTATCACAGAGAGATGCTATTTCCCCTCTCTTGGCATCAGGGTTGGCTCCAGAGGCCCTCTCTGTCTCTGAGGGACATGGATTGTAAATGGAACATTAGGAAAAAAGTCAATAGAAGGCCATTTATAAGAGGGTTATTTGGCAAACCCAAAGAACTGGGTTTCACACACTTGGCATGGAGCCCCCGCTTTGGGCCGGGCCACCATCGCCCCACTGCACTGCAGGAGTAAGAGCAAGGGCAACGGGGAGCAACACAACCAACATGGCCACCCACCGCCTGCCTGGTACCAACACTGGCCACTTCCTCTTCCCATTCAATGAGGACTCTGGCCTCCACTGGACATCCAGCTGTTTTGTTATTGTTACTGCTGCATTTTTGTTTTGTTTTGAAAATTTGTTTCCTTTTTTGTTTATAGGTCACCTTGCTATCCCAGGATGGTCTTAAACTAATCTAAAAGCACAAAAGGGGAACAGTAATTATTTCAAGGGGAACAGTAATTATTTTTGCTTTCTTTTTTATAACGTCAGAAAAAAAGCAGTGATAATATACAAAATGCACCAAAAATATCTACAGTGAAACATGACACACAGTTCTTTGTTGCCCACTGGTTGGTAATGCCAGCGCGAACAGACAATTGCTACATTTTATCACATTTACATAGGACCCTTCCAACTCTTTTTTTTACTGGCTGGCACCCTCAGGGTAAAGTCCTAGATGAGGAGAAATCGCATTTTGTGCCAGGTGAATAATCTCTCAAACCCCCAAAGCTGGCTGATGCAGGGCAGAGCAGATTCGAGAGAAGGGAGGGCTGCCGTGTTCCACAGCATGACAGAGAGAAACCCATGCCTGTTTTAAATGACCTTGCAGAAGTGGGAGCCACTTAGGGAAGCTTTGGTCCAGTGAAGACGGACTATGCTGCCCATTATGTGGGGTTAGCAGCTTTAGTAAGAAGGGGGAAGGTGGACGTCCCTGCACAGGTAGCCCATGACATGGCTCTGCCTGGCGGTGGCACCATGACTTGAGCCCACCTGGGGGAACAGTGCCCTTCCACCTGGAGGGCCTTGGATTTACCTGGACACGGGAGGGACCTCCTCCCTGTCCTGTGCTGGCACAACCCCCCAGACAATCACCACAGCTTCCCCCCAGATCCAAACGCTGTACCCTGATTACAAAAAATATTATGATTAGACCTTGGTTCTGTGGTGACAGGAGTGGGTACAGCCAATTCTGCATCCTTGAGTAGAACAGCTTCTCCCAACCAGGACCCAGTAGATACATGCTGAGACAAGAGCTTGGAGAAATCTTTCTAATATCACTATTGTGATGAATCCCAGTATTCCCACCCTATCCTATCTTTTTAACCAAAAAATCAGCTGGCTGGACACCCAAAACTCATCTYCCAACTGGGTGTGGTGATGCACACCTGTAGTGCCAATGACTCAGGAGCAGAGGAAGGAGGATCCCAAGTTTGAGCCAGCCTTAGAAATTTAGTGACACTATGTATCAGAATTAATAAAAAGGGATAGAGATGCAGTCCAGTGGTAGAGCACCTCTGTTCAACCCCCCGCATTGCAAAAACAAATAAACCAAAACAATCTGGTATCCTGCTTGAGTGGGTAACAATCTACTGTGAGTGTGACACAGGCCATATAAGTGACTGGCCTCTCCTCTCAAAGGCTCACTCAGAAAGTGTCTATTTCTTATAGCAAAACACTGACAGACCCACAGGCAAAGGAAAGCTGGTGGCTTCCAGGGCCCGTGTTGCTCCAGTTAAAGAAGTTCACAGGAACATCTGTAGCGACACATCAAGGCAGGGCGCGGTGGCCACGCCTGTAATCCCGGCAGCTTGAGAGGCTGAGGCAGGAGGATCGTGAGTTCAGAGCCAGCCTCTGTAAAAGCGAAGTGCTAAGCAACTCAGTGAGACCCTGTCTCTAAATAAAATACAAAATAGGGCTGGGGATGTGGCTCAGGGGTCAAGTGTCCCTGAGTTCAACCCCAGTACCAAAAAAAAAAAAAAGTAGGGGCACATCTGTAATCTGCCGTGCATCCACCTCTCCTCACAGGACTAATCCACACACCTTGGCTTCCACGGAGTGTGTGGGGGGGGGGGGGCTGCGGGAGCCTGGGTGGAGTGCAGCTTGCTGGCACCAGCACTTCATCAATTCCTGAAGTGCCAATGGGAGGGGAGGGCGGCAACTCCACCTCAGATTTATCTTTTCTTGGGGGTGGGGGAAGGAATTCAATGACTTTACTAGGAAAGCCCATTGGGAATAAATGTGCAATCAGCTCCCAGGTCTTCTGTTGGATCTGTGTGATTTATGCACCATCTGGCCAGAGCACAGCCACCACAGAGGGCTGGTATTCCAACCGCTATCAGGGGACACGCAGGCAGCCGAGGTAAACCAGCCCTTGGGGACTCTGGGCTTTGGTTTGCTTCTGTGATCAGACGCCTTATAGCCAGGCCTGGTCTGAAGCCACTCACCTGTAGAACGATGGGCAGCTGCTCAGGGGGACTCCGGTTCTCCACGCCCATGGTGAGCCACACCTGGAACGCAGTCAGCTGCTCAGCGAAGAAGGGGCTGTGCTGTGGGATGAGCAGAGGCATGAGTTAGGGACCTTGGCCCCACCAGCACCCTTACGGGTCGACAGAGCACTCACTCTGTGGCTTTGACCACACAGGGGAGGGACAYAGCACGCTCCAGCCCAAAGACAAGGTAGAGCTGCAGGATTTGTGAGCAGCCTAGAGACGGGCAAGAGAGGGCCCAGCTGGGCCCTGTGGCCACGCCTGTGGTCCAGAGACTCAGAGCCTGAGGCAGGAGGGTCACAGTGAAGTGAAYCAGCACTAGCCCTTTTTAAAGTTTTATTTTCATACATACATTTAGAAAGTTGTAGGTATCTTAGACATAGAGGTCGATGGATTTTTACCAGTTGAATATGCTTGTGTAAGCAGCATCAAAATCAAGTAGCAGCACACGAGCAACCCCTGGGCCCCCAGCCCCTGCCACAGCAGCCTTCCTGGGTGGCCACGTCCTGCCTGCTTCTGTGGGCCGAGAGGTAGAGCCACACAAAGTGAGGTCGAGTCTGGCCACCTCCCATTAGCATGGGGGCCTACAGGTGTAGCTGTGGCTYTTGCTGCAGGTGGAACACCTGTCCCTTCCACCTCCAGGGGGCACTTCGAGTTCCTGTAGTGGCCCTCACAGTGCAGGCCGAGTACAGTGGAGCCTGAAGCACAAAGAACAGCCAGTTACCCTGGCTCTATCTTCACTTGAAATGTTAACGTTTTGCGCCCCTCCCTTCCCCACCATCCCAATTTGGTGAAATTATTCCCCAAAGCAGAATTTTGATTCCAGAAATGATGTAGCAAGATTCTTGAAAAGGTCCTTGGCAAATATGCCTGGCACTGGAAAGAAGAGTTCCGCCCAAGAGGAGCACACGTGCCAACGGAGGGACCTCTCCTGAGGGGGGCGGAGAGTTCCGGTTTCCTGCAAACACAGAGGAAGCCGCCCAGAGCACAAAAAGCCAAGACCTTGTGAGGCTTTCAAAGGCCCTGTCCTGCCTGCAGGAGCCGAGGTCCTCGGGCTGCTCTGGCTGGGCTGGAAGGTGGGGAAGTGGTGGGGCAGCCTCTAGGGGAGGCTCGTGACTATGACAAGACATTGTCCCTGCCCAGACCTGTGGAAGGTGGGCAGGCAGGCCTTTGTTTGGGAGCCTATGGGCATACACCCGGCACACAGGGGAGCCAAGGGCATGGAACAGCCAGGGCTCAGGGCAGTTTGCAGTACGTGAAAAGATGTACCAACTCCAGCCCACAGGCAGATGGATACGTGAGGGCAGTGTGGGTGGACTCGGTGGTGGGGGTGGGTGCTCACTGCAGAAGGCGGTAGACAGGCAGAAACGTGTGAGAGGGCAGTGTGGGTGGACTCGGAGGTGGAGGTGGATGCTTGCTACAGAGTTCTTCCAACTCTGCTCCATCTTGAAACTTTTTACAATAAAATGTTACCGAAAAATTTTAAAAAAGCAAAAAACGGGGGAGCAATCTAAGAAAAAGGTCAGGGAGGTCCTCTTCAAAGGCTCTTGACTCAGTGTAAGGAGGGCCTTAATCTAAGAAGGGCCTTGGCCTAAGTGACTCCACTTTAAAATAAAACTGCAAGTCCCTACCAGGCATACCTATGGAGCTCTCCAATATTGACACCAGGCACAGCCTGATAAAATAAGTCACTTTCCACAACCCTGATAAAACTCAGAGTGAAGTCACTGTCGTTTGCCTTCACCTTGATAAAGGCAGAGGTGAGAGATAAGGGCGGAAACCACCAGACCAGATGGCTTGACACAAAGATGTCACCGAGAAACCTGGTAACAGCTAATAGGGATTGAAAGGGCGAGTAGAAACCCCGAAATTTAGCATAAACGGTGGAGCAAATGAACAGACACTCAGCCAGCCGACGCGATGCCCACATGCTGGAGAGCCCGAGGAGGACCTGACTGACACCCYGACTCTTCTCGTGGTTGGCCTGCTCCTCTGCATCATCCTCACCGCTCTCAAACTCCACGGCCACATCGGGACCCTGGTGAGAACAGCAACTTCTCCTTAGGACCCTCTCCTCAGCTGGCCGTCAGCTCCACCCCAGGAGAAGCCTGCCTCCATTGCTTCCTGACCTGATCACTGCGGCCTGAGTGACCACGCATCTGCTGGACTTCTGGCCTAAGGCTTGAGACTTTCCATCTGGCACTTGAGCTGGCATGCAGAGGGAATGTCTGTCACGAGYCTGTCATGATKAAGTGTGTTTGCAGTGCACAGAATTAACTTAGAATCGCTTGCTCTGAATTGATTCTGTCTATTGCAGTGCCCAGCATTAAGGATTGTCACTTTTATTGATTAAGAACCTATAAAGGGGCTGGGGCTGAGTGATAGAGCACTTGCCTTGCACTTGTAAGGCACTGGGTTTCATCCTCAGCACCACATAAAAATAAACAAACAAAATAAAGGTATTGTGTTCATCTACAATTAAAAAACAAAAAAAGAACCTATAGAGTGGACTTGGACAGAATGATGTGAGTGTAAAGCATTGAGAAGGGCAGGAGCATGTGGACCTTCTTTATTTCTTCCCCTGACTGCACAAGTTGCACCTTTGCCCCTTGGGGCACCTGGTCGTTCCAGTCTTGGGGTGCACCGAGACCACTGGGGAGGAGAGTGGGTGGATTTAAGATGGCGGTTAGAGGAAGACTGCATCTGTTGCTGGGTGGCTTGGGATTCCCTTTTAGGAGCCAAGAAGAAATGGGAAAAAAGACCCTTGGCAAACGCAGTGACCATCCATTTCATCGACAGCATCGGCAAGCTCCGTAGGGACAATTTTTTCAGTTTTCATTAAGAATCCCTTTTTTCTTTTTTTTTTTTTTCCTGTTGTTTATTTTGGTGTGTTTCTGTTTCTTTCCTTTCTTGTCCCTCCAATAGTCAGATCTCTTGTCCTTTTCTCCCCTTTACTCACTTTAGTTTTTCTCCTCATTTACAGCCATCACTAGCTGTCACTCTTCTGCTTTCTCTGTTCACATTGAACCTTCTAAACTTTCTGCTACCTCCCCATCACGTTTCCTTTTCTCTTAATGAACTGTGTTCTACCATCTTTTAGAACTGTTCTGTTTACACACTCCTGCCCCCACTATTCACGATGTGGTTATTAGTACTGTGGACGGCAGAGTTGGGACCTGCTGTTTCTTCAATGCCAGATTGAGTTCATGGTTATTTGCTATTTTGCTCTTGGCAACTGCTGACCCCACCTTCCTGTCTTCATGATAATTAGTGCTGTAGAGGTCACAGTAGACACAGGATAGTTATTTTAATGCTGTATATTATTAGTATTGATATTTGCTATTGTTTGTTTTGCCCTATTCTGTGAGGTGCTGGGAACCTACAGGGACACCACAAGTTCACAGGGTAGAGACTCTGTTGTTGACCTAAACTCAGCCAAAAGATAGCACACTTTGCTCCGCACACAAATTGGCCACTCTGAAACTTCAGCTATACTTTAATACAAAGAAGAGAAGAGACAAATACCCAAACTAATACTCAGGCCCCAAGCAGGAAGAGCTACAGGGTGCCCATTGGTCCTAATCACAGACATCCATGCCAAGAGCAAAAACAGAATTACACAAAAGCTGTTGACCCCACACAAGAGTGCTTGATCACTGACCCACATTCTCAGCCCCTTTTTATATTTTATTAGAGACAGGATCTCACTAAGTTGCTGAGGCTGGCTTTAAACTCATAATCATGTTGCCTCAGCCTCCTGAGCTGTTGGGATTATAGGCATGCCTGGCACAATGAGGGATTTTAATCTATATCACTCTAACACACTTTGGCAAGAGAAGGCCATGCCATAAAAAGGCTCACACATAAGAGTGGAAGATAAATCCATCCCAACAGATCCATAAAACCCAACACAGGAATACAAGAAATATAAAAAACAAGGTAAGATGATACCTCCTAAAGTTCATAATTTATCAGCAACTGAACTCAAAGATACCAAAATGGATGAAATACCAGATAAAAAACTCAAAATGATGATTATAAAACTAATCAATGAATTCTAAGAGATTATAGGAAAACAACTGAATGAATTAAGAAGTCATTACAGGATATGAATGAGAAACTTAATAAGGAGATGGAGATATTGACAAAGAACCAAATAGAAATCTTGAAAACAAAAGACACAATAAATCAAATAAAATGTTCAGTTGAAAGTCTCTTTAAAACAGTAGACCATGCTGAAGACAGAGTCTTAGAACTGGAAGGCAAAGTGGCCAGCCTTGAACATCACACAGTACCAAAGAAAGGAAAATAAGTAACCATGATCAGACTATACAAAAATTCTGGGACATTAAGAGACCAAATGTAAGAAGAATCAACAAAATGGAAAAGCATTGTGAGATGCAGGCTAATAGCATGGATAACTTCCCCAGGAAATAATATAAAAATTCCCAAACCTTGAGAATAAAATGAACATCCAGATATAGAATGCATACAGAACCTCAAATAGACACAGACAAGATTAAAACAAAGAAACAAACAAAAACCTCTCTCCATGACACATTATAATTAAAATGCAATTTTAAAAGCCTCAAGAAAAAAAAACAAATCAGGACACATTTAGAGGCGAGCCAATCAGAATCACTTCTGATCTCTCAGCACAAACTCTAATATGATCCAGGAGGGCTTGGAATGATGTGTTCTAAATCCTGAAAGAAAATAACTGTTAACCAAGACTACTATATCCAGCAAAACTATCCTTCAAGATCGAAGAAGAAATAAAGCTCTTCCAAGTTAAGCAGAAACTAAAAGAATTCCTCACTCCTAAGCCAGTACTACAGAACTTAAAGAAGAAATAAAAAACAAACTCCAGAACTCACAAATGGACAAATTTCCATTGAAGAGTAGCCAAGCAGATGAGAAATGTTTATTTTACTAAACATTAGAAATAAACTAAAATGGCAGGAATAAACTTCTGCCTATAAAAATATTGAACACCAGTGTTCAACTCTCCAACTAAAAGACACTGCCTGGCAGAATAGATTAAAAAACAAGACCTAATGTTGTTTGCAAGAGACTAAAAGTGAAAGGATAGCAATGATGTATCACATGAATCAAGACTGAGAACAAGCCTGAGTAGGAATAAATGGATAAAGAAAATATGGCATATATACACAACAAAGTTTTATTCAGCCACAAAGAAGAATGAAATTAGGTTATTTACAGGAAAATGGATGGAATTGGAGAACGTTATGTTAAGCACCCTGGTTCCCAGTGGGTGAACCAAATCTCAGAAGGTCATATATTTTCTCTCATATGTGAACTCTAGGGAGGAAAAGGGAAAAGAAAGGTGGTGGTGGTATTCTCAGGAAAATCAAAGGGAGATCAGTAGAATAGAGGAAAGAAGTATGGCGGGGAAGGGCAGGGGAGTGATACTGGCCAAATTATATCATCATATTGTGTGCATGTGGAAACATTCAACAACAAACCTCACCATTATGTACAATTATAATGCAACAATAGAAGAAATATWAAAAAAAAGTGCATCTGGCGATTTAACACACCCCACATGCACGGCTCTGAGCATGCCATACATGCATGCATGTTCACATACACCACAGGCAAAGGCCTCCAGGCCATGGTGACAAGTATTAAAGGTTACAGCACCTTGGTGGTGAGCTGAGCTCTCCATGGCCTCTGGTGCCTCCTGCCTGATTTGAGGGTGAGACACTCTGGCCTCTGGTGTTTGTGAGAGGCGATCTGACTGTGAACATGCCAGGGTCCCATCCTAAGCCCTTTGGGTATACAAACTCATTTTAATGCTCTAGGCCCCTTGGATTGAATGAGGACACTGAGGTACAGGGAGGTTGTCTAACTGGCCCATGGCCATGGTGCCAGGCTCTTGGCTATGATGCCCAACAGTTTCTCAGGTGGCAGGAGAAGACTCAGTCTTGTTGACCCAGCCTCATGCTCCCCTATGTCATCTCAGCCTCATGGATGGCCTGAGCATGTGATCACCCAATGTGATCACCTCTGCCAGCCCCTACCCAGGCCTCTGTTCCTGGGCCCCTGGGTACCTATGGTGGCCTCCTTCTTTCTCCCTTGAGCCCTGACTTGACATGGCACCTCTTCTCTTTTCACAGATTCTTGAGGATAGGGACAGGGTTATTCAGACTTGATGCCTCACATCACAAAGGCAAAACCAAGTGGGCCTCTGGGTGTTGCAGTGAGGACCCTGGTATCATGTCCAATTCACTTGCAGGTGCTGTGAATGAAGCCAGCTGCAACTTATGCAGAGCCAGAGAGACTAGGCTTCTGCCACCTGCAGTGTGGCTTGGGGTTGGGATGCCTGTGTGATGGGAGGGAGCCCTCAGAGATTTCCATGTGTGAGCCCCTGTGCCTCAGGCTTGGGGAAAGCACGACTCACCCTGCTGAGAGGGCAGAGGATGAAATGAGGGCTGCTCTGGGGAGGAGGCCACCTGCATGAAGAAGAGCAGACTCTTCAGAGCAATGCTTTACACTAAGATCTGTGTTTATCCCCAATCTTTTTTATTTTTTGTTTTGAGACAGGGTCTCACTAAGTTGCTGAGGCTGGCCTGAAACTTGCAATCCTCCTGCAACAGCCTCCAGAGTAAGTTTTTAAAAGGTGACCACTTCAAAATCTAACTTTATGGGCTGGGGTTGTGGCTCAATGGTAGTGCACTTGCCTAGCATGTGTGAGGTACTAGGTTCAATCCTCAGCACCATATTTAATAAATAAATAAATAAACAAATAAATAAAATAAAGGCATTGTGTCCATCTACAATTAAAAAAAAAATTAACTTTAACCCTGGGTTGACCCAGTCTTGTAAACTTTGGTCAGTATATTTTTTTCCCAGGTGGGTGAACCGAATCTCTGACACCCACACAGACTGAGGTTTTTATGRAGCAGGTGCCCAAGAAGCAACAATCACAGCAGATGCCCAGGTCGCCCTGGAGGGACTCACCCTGAAGGCAGTGCCTTCCTCAATGATCGTGGGCAACTGAGAGAGACAAATGTCCACAGCAAGGTCCCAGGCCTGCCTGGGGAGAGAACAGAGGGAGCATCAACAGCGTTAGTGTGTAGCCTCTGGCGAGGGGTCCCACGGGCAGAGGAACTACCAGGCCCTTGCAGATGGTTCTGGGGAGGGGCCTGGAAACTGGGAGGCTGTGCTGGGCTTGTCCCGTCGGCCCCAGCTGCAGGCACCACTGGGACTGCTATACTCTGACTCTGGCCTGTCTGCTTTCTTCTAAGTGAAGCAAAAAAATACAGTGGTAGTGGCCCTCCACGGTGGCTCCCAACTCTGATGTGACCCTCTGTGGCACACAATCTGCCTGCTCCAGCTCCAGGCTGCAGTGCCCTTGTGGTGGAGCTGGGGCCAGGCAGCCTGGCTGTGGACCTCCGTCACAGGAGCCTTGGCAGTGTCAACCTGCCCCAAACCTTGCAGTAGGACTGTGGCCTTGGCTACCACTGGCATGGTCTGAGTTGTTGGGCCTGGGCCCTGGGTGGCCAGGAGTGTGCTGGTGGTCCTTCAGGACAGGACAGGTGGTGCTTGTTTGAGGTAAAAGCGGATTGTCCCCGTGGTAGACTTGGCTATTCTCACCAGGCTCTGGGGGTGTCAGGACTCAGCTCAGCACATTCACAGCTGTATGTCCTTGGCTGTGCACCCTGGTCTGTCTGGAGAGCACAGGCTGTGACCCCACTAAGCAGATGCCCACACCCTCCCCCAGCTTCGAGCCAGCCCTGTGTTCCATTCTTCAATAATTCCATGGCTGGGGCACACAAGCCCATTGCAGGGTGATTTATGTGGCTTCATAAACACCTCCTCTTACATAATCAGGGGAACGGGGACTTGGTGTCTGGAAGCAGGCTGGCTGCTCTTATGTAAGGCTCTTCGCCAGGTCTCTCTCTTCCTTACTGCTTCTGAAGGACCCAAGAGCACAAAGGGACAGGAGAACTTGGGGCTGAAGCCACACAGGTCAGGGTTTGAGCTTGGCCTGGGTGTGATCTGGGTGTAATTTTGTTGATTCTTATGAACTATGAGCCCACAGGACAAGTTTAGACTTGTAGGGAAGCCACAACAACAGGGATTCCCTCCGTGACTGTGGAGCTAAGGCCAACCCCTCCTGAGAAGAACTGTGCAGGCTCAGGCCAGGGGCCATCTGGCTTGGCACTGGGACAGCACAGCACCGTGCATGGCTATAGGTGCCCAGACTCCTCCCAGCCCCCCTTCAGCATTGCTGACCTATCACCCAGGGTTGCTTCAACCCTGCAGTCCATGGGGTGCCTTCCCCTCTGTGGCAGAATGGGCATCCCCCTGATCTCGCACGGAGCCTTAACGGGTGGAGCAGCCTGTGGGGCCCTGAGACCTGGCCCTTTCTTTCCTTCTTCACTTTACTGTGTCCAAACCATGGCTATTGACTTCCTTTTCTAGAAAACAAATGGAGGCAGGCCTGTGGCTGAGGACATGGGACAAAAGGTGCAAGTGATGGCCTGGGAGCTGCTGATGTCACCCTCTGTCCCAGTTTCTCTGCAGGGGCCAGAGACACTGCCTGCAGATGTGACACAGAGCCCCTWCCTTAGTGGGCAGAGTGCTCAGCAGGCCCCGGCATAGCTCACAGCCCCTCCACAGGATGAGTTGCACCTGGACACTGAAGGAGGACATAGGGAGGACAGATGTCCCTGGGTCAGCTCCACTGGCTCTCCCTTCCTGCTGGGGACTAGCTGAGCTAAATACTTGACATGGCATGTGGCTGGGCACCCAGCATTGCCTGCCAAGCATATCAGCCCGCAGCTGGCCATAAAGGATCTGGAAGCCCCTGCTTGCTTTCCCAGCTTCACCTTCTGCTTGGTCCCTTGCCCTCCCTCCCCTCTTCCAACCCCCTGCAGTCACAGAGGTAAGACCACAGGGACAGGAATGGCAGTCTAGGAAAGGTGCTTGCTCTGCTCACTCATTAACAAGGCATCTGGAGGGCGGGATCCAGGAGGCCAGCCCCTTCTCCAGCAACACTCTGCCATGCCTAGGGAAGCAGCCCACACCCTGCAGGCTCCACCTCACTGTTGGGTGACGACTCTCCATGGAGGCATCACCAGAAACCTCCCAGCTGTGCTGTTCTCTGCCTCTCCTCTGCTTGGATACATGCAGGCAAGGTTAGGTAAAGAGATCTGTCTGAGGACAGAGCTGGCCACATGGAAACTGAGGGAGAGGAGGAGCGAGGCCAGGGGCTGGTTTAGCCTGAGTAAGCTGGACAAAGGGAGCTGAGCAGGTGACCAGAGGTGACAGCCTAGATCCTGCAGGTCACAGTAGGGTGTTGTGTGGGCCCTACTGCAGGTGAAGGTCTGGAGAGTGTGATGGGTACCTGGCACTGGAGCAGGACTAGGGCAGGGGTCTGTAGGGAGGTCCTTGAGGTCAAGTTCTGAGATGTCCAYAGTGGGGCTTCTAGATTTCGTCATGACTTCCCTCACCTCCCTTCCTGTTCCTGGACAGAGCCAGCCAGGCTTCTCAGCAACAGTGTCCCTTCACCCATCACGGGAGCACCCCTGTCGTGTTGCCATGGCAGAGGCTCTGTCCCCTCAAGAGTACTCCCGACTTCCTAGGGCTCCCTTGGCCCCTTTGTCACAGTGAGTGCTCAAGCAGCTCCTCTGCAGGCTGGGGCGGCCTTGTCCTGCACACTCACCCTCAGGCAAAGTGTTTGGCACTACCGGCTCACTGACGCCCCCAGACGCCATTTAAAACAGACTTTCACCCCCTTGATGGCTCCAGACCCAGAATCCATTGCAGGACCAGTAGGTACAACTGAACCGGACCTAGCACCTCCCAGCCAGTTCCTAGAGTCCCTGGACTTGGCCGTAGCTTCACCTGGCGTCCCGTTGCACTCCCCAGCCTTCACCTGCCCTCCCTGCTATCTTGCTGCTTCTGCAGGAGCCAGTCTTCTCTGCTGGCCCCTCTCATGCCTTTCCTCAAGCCTTAACAGCAGCCCTGAAGCTCCCACCACTCTTGGCCTTCACCAGGGACGAAGGCTTGGTCGTCCCAGTGCCTCCCAGCTTCTCCAGTTCTGTGGCTCTAGCACCAGCAGATACCCCAGTATCCAGCCATGCCTGATTGCTTGCTGGGTACCCAGCACACAGTAGGTCTTCAACAAACATTTGTTGAATGAGAGGGAGTGCAACTGCTGTGCCCAGAGCAGCCGGCAGGGCTTAAAGAGAACAGGATGGGGAGAGAAGCAGCCGGACCACAGGGGCTGCCTGGCTCATGCCCCGCTCTGCCACGGCTGGGACAGCAGACCTTCCCCCTCACTCCTCATCAGCAGGAGGCAGGTCTTCCAAGGCCACCATTTGTGTGAAGCCACACAGTGACCACACAGCAGGCTGGGCTGCACCAAGCTCTGGGCCCAGCCTTTGGCTCCATCTCTCCAGGACCAGCTTCCCCATCCATGAAGGAGTAAGGATGGCATCTCCTGCACAGGTMCTCATGAGACCCTGAGATGACGCCGAAGGTCTACCTGGCTTCGGTAGGCCCCAGGCCCACAGGTGTGCAGGTGCCTTCATCCCTACTTGCCCCTCCTTGAGAAACACTTTCCTGCAGAAACCACGTGGGGATGGTTTGCTGGGTTTCATTCTGCAACAACAGCATCCTCTGGTAACTTCACAAGACTCAAGGACCCAACCTTTTTTATTTAGACTAGTGAGACGGCATGCTGGCAGGCAAAAGGGCATTTTTTGTCTCTAATAAAGGAATAAAACAAGAATGGAAAAATTTAAGCTGAACAAAGGGCCTAAAGAGCTCCTTTTATCTTCAAAGGCCTGAACTGCACCCCACCCCCAGACTGGCACAGCAGCCCCTCCCTGCTGACAATTAAGAGGCAATCAGGAGATAATCAAACACAGCTCCCACCCCAGGCAATAAATAGCTCCCATATGCTCAATAAACCCAGATTGTAGGCAAACGGTCCTCGGCTGCATTGAGGGAGGTATCTACTCTGTTGAGACAGAAGCAAAGTCAATTATTGCAATTAAACTCTATATGGATGCCTTGCATTTAATCCAATAAAAGCTTCAATTTCAGGAGTCAGAAATAAGTGTACAAGTTCAGGGAATGCTGATGAGAAAGGGGCACAGTGTGTCTGACCGGCTCTGAGCCCAGTATAGTCTGGCGACAGTCATAGCCAGGGCTGGACACCAGTGGCACTGTGCGTAAGGCCAAGCATATTCACAGGCCACCTCGCAGTGCAGAGCTGAAAGCTGCTTGGCATTGAAATACTCCGGCAGAAAGAAATGGAATCCATTAGCAAGGACCAGCAACTGCGAGATCCTAGACTGCACTGGGGACACACACTTCTCACATCCCACCCTGCTGGGGAGATGGCTCCTGACGACCTGAGACCCCTCGTGCTCCCACCCAGGAGCAGGGGCTGAGCCTGCCACGTTTCCTTCACTGGGAAAGCAGCTCCAGATGGTTTTATTCTCATCTGTGTGAAAGATGTGGTGGGGACAAAGCTGAGGAGGGGCTGTGGCTTAGGTCACCGACCGACAGAACAGCTGCACAGGGCTGTGGACCAGAGAGCAAGACAGGAGAACCTTTGCTCAAGGTACCGAGGAGAAAAGAGGCTGACTGAGGACACCCAGGACCCCTGAACAACAAGTGCCAAGAGAGTCACCACAACACCCGCCCCCCAGGCCTCCACAGGGGACACATGCGGGCCTAGGCCAGATCCCTGGCAGAGGTGGGACTGATGAGGCTTGCTGGGCAATCTGGCACTCTCTGGGCCAGATTAGATCATCTTGGTGTCACCATCAAACTCTATAACTGTGTGAGAACCGTTTTGACAGCAGAGCAGTAGTGCTCTCTGAGGAGCATTAAATCAGTTGATTAAAACTGGCTGCATTTTCTCAGATAAAACCCAACTGAAYTTGTAGTCTTAATTTGGGATTCTCAGCTACAGACAAGTGGGAAAGCAGGTCCTATAAAAACCTGAGACTGTGGCAGTGGGCAACTGCAGCAGCCAGTCTGCTGCTGGCACCCAGGCAGGAGCAGAAGCTAGGC